CGGGACAGACTAAGCCGAACCGAACCGAGCCGTGCCAGCCGCCCCTCCCGCCTGGAGCCAGGAGCCCGGCCCTGCCGTGGTGCTGAAGGGACAGCTCCGGCCGGGCCGGGCACGGACCAGGCAGGGCCCGGGCGGGGCTGGTACAGTCGTGGATTATTCCTGATAATCGCCTGCTCCTCCTCTCCTGGGGTCCCCGGGTGCAGCTGGAGCAGAGCGGGGAGCAGCCCGGGAGCTTCACTTCTATTCTAACATCCCCCACCATCCTGAGTTTCCGGCGGATCCCGGCCCACCAAGGGTTAACGACACCGCAGGTGTGATGGGAACTCGCCCGGTCGAGGAGCGCTAAAGAAACCAAACTTCTGGTATTTTCTATTAAATTGAAGGAATGGGGAAAAGGAGCGTTTATTGGAAAAGTCTCTTGAAAAGTTGGAGTGCTTGTTTGAGGACTAAGGTTGGTTTGTAAAATGGAACTTTTGACTGGAGGTGCTCAGAGGATATCACAGGAGAAAATGTTTGATGAGAGGAATTCATACCTCTGCCTGAAATGTTTAGTTTTTATTTTCTTTCTTTACGTCCTCTGAGGGAGAGCAAAGTAACAAATACAGCCCAGTAGAGGCTGTTTGCCACTGAACGGTGAATACCCTTGATTTCACTGGGAAATTCCCCATCCTTTTTATTCTATGCATGTGAAAGAATAAAGTAAACATTTTTGGTCAGCCTTACGTGAAATGAAAGGAAGATCAGTGGTGGAGCTACACTGGGGAGGTGGCAGGCGGATGTGATCAGCCTGCAAACCTCTCCTGCGTGAGAATGCATTTGCTCTAAGCGTGTAACTGCTCATTCTCCTACAGTCCTGTGTATGCGTATTTCAGAGACAAACAACTTCCACAAAGTAATTGCAGAGTGTTGCCCAGAGCACAAGGTACACATTATTCCACACAGTGAAATGCATGGATACTCCCATGGATACATAAAATCTGCTGCAGTTTCACAGCTGCTCCATAAGCAAATATAGATCTGTTGCAATGAGGCAGCTACAGAGAGCAGCCTCGGAGCTGGCAACTGGAAATCTCCATGTGCCCGAGCCCCTGCCAGCCTCTGCCAGCCTCCCTACAGCAGATCTGCCGTTACACATGGAAAACACAGGATGGAGGTGTCTAAGTCAACATTTTTAGTAGGGTTTTAACAGAACACAGAGAGAGCAGAAATGTGCCAGGGCTTGTTTTGTTCAGGTAGTTGCCATCCAAGTGATCAAGCTAATAAATACATTTAACTCCTCTTTGTCTCCTCGGTGTACTTTATTTGTAACTCGCATGATTTACTGCTGAGGAACCTTTAGGACTTCAAGACTAAATTACTAAGTTAATCAATGGTTCGATATAATTAGAATGAATCTGCTTTTGCATCCATTGGCACAACTGCCCAGTCATCTCTAGCAGCAAATGACAAATCCATACACTGTGTGCAGCTGACAGAGAGCACAGGGCATTGATTATAATGAGTTCATTGATTCTAACAAGTTCAAAGTCACCAGATAACTCAAGATGGGGAATCTCCAACTGAAAGAAACGCCGTACCCTTTTCATGTTGGTTTGCCTCTTACGGAACAGCTTTGAAGTGGAAGCTAAATGAAGTCCACTGGAGACAAGAGCCATCCTTCAGCAGCAAGGGCAATGGGCTGGGCTGTGATCATACAGCAAAGCACATCAGAAATAACCCACTGGTCTCACTGGAGTTACAGCTGTGAACAACTGACCTGAGAGCAGTGAGTCAGCCACTTTGGGGCTTTGCCAGAATCTCAAAAAACCTCACATTTCCCATGCCAGCTACATGTGCCCAAACCTGCCCTGCCCACTGCGCATCAGAGTCCCAGGCCAGGGTAAATTTAGCTTTGCTGCCTCAGCACAACCTCCCTGCTCCCACTGCAGCAGGAGCTGGGTATCACACAGAGCCGCAGCGATGCTCTGCCTGTCCCAGCAATGGGTATAAATTCAGGAAACCCTGAGGATTTTCCAGCTTGTGCTGGACCTT